GTTATATTTTTTATTTTATTTAGTGCTTATTTTGCATATTCTTGGCAGTGGAGACTGGCTATAAAATGAGATGGATTGTCATAGCAGTTATTGTGATATAAGCAAGATTCTTTGGTTTCCATATTTTTAAAATTTTATTGTTAATATCAGTGTCATTTCCATATTTTGTTAAATGTCATTCGTTCTGTGGTCTTGACCAATATAGTGAATACCATCCTAACTAGAGAATTGTGTGAGAATTGTGTTTCATCAGTTAAAATTCTCTCTCATAGTGGTCAAATCTTTATTTACCTTAACCATTTTCTAATAGTACATGAACCTTTCCAAGAATAAACTTAGACATTCGATTAATTCTTTGATTAAAAACCAAGAAAATCTGTAAGTTGTAAATTGATGTGACAGTTATTGCTTAGATGATCAAGTGTTTTCTGGAGATGGAGTTACAGTGGAAGTTAGGTAAGCCTGTGCTGTGCAATAGAAATATGCAAGCTGTAGTATAATTTCAGTGTTTTGAATAGTCCCAATAAAAAGAAGCAGGTGAGTTAACTTTAATTTTTATTTAACCCAATATATTTTAGCATTTAATCTACATAAAAATTATTAATGAGATATTTTCCATTTACTTTTCAGGTTCAGTGTTCTAGCTCTGGTTTTAGACTAACTACATTAGAAGTGCTTCATAGCCTCATGACTAGTGGCTACCTTAATGCACAATGCACAGCAAAGCATTTTAATAAATGTGAAAATTTCAGTTCCACAATTACTGATGAAATTAAAAGAAATACAAAACGAATTTAAAATTGATAAACCAAAGATTTTGCTATGCTTTCACTATTTTTAAATATATATATCGATTTCAGAGAGGAAGGGAGAGGGAGAGATAGAAACATCAATGATGAGAGAGAATCATCCATTGGCTGCCTCCAGTTGTTCTGCCGTTAGGGTCAATTTGCATATTACCATAGTGCAGTTGCTTGGATACAAACCCTTATTCTTCCATTATTGTCTGTGACACTAAACAAGTCACCTTGTGAATTGTCTTGCTGCTTCATCTGTAAAACTACATCATATGGTTGCTGTTATAGTTGAACGAAAACACATATAAAGCACCTGATACACAGGAAATGGTAGTGCTGCCCTGTTTCTTTTCTTTTTTAAAAATATATTTCTTTATTGATTTCAGAGAGGAAGGGAGATGGAGAGAGAGAGAGAAACATCAATGATGAGAGAGAATCATTGACTGGCTGCCTCCTGCATGCCCCCTACTGGGGTTTGAGCCCACAATCCAGGCATGTGCCCTTGGCCAGCCTCTAACCTGGGACCCTTCAGTCCGCAGGCCGACGCTCTATCCACTGAGCCAAACCAACTAGGGCCTGTTTCCTTTCTTGAATAGTGGATTGCTACAGTTAACTATTCTGTGAAAATGGAGACTTGAGAAGGATATAATCACATATTAAATATAGCTGGAGCAGTGGTCCTACAACCAGTCAAATTGACTAATAATGACTTGTACAAATGAAACAAACTGTGGCTTTGACCGAGTCAAACACT